CACACCGACAGGATCCCAGTGTTAGAGAGGGTGATCGATCACACTGATGTTTCACACTCACTAAACACTGGGATCCTGTCACTCACCAATAGTGGTTTGCCTTTAAATTCCCATTGACAACCTCCTGGTCTCTCCCGATGACAGTGCGTTTGAGATTGAAGTCCACCCCTTGACCCTGAGCTGGGTCGTGTTTTTACAATTCGAAGGCTGAACAGAGGCCTGGGAGCGACAGGCTACATTCCCTTAGCAAACGAACACTGCAAAACATTTTCTTTAACAAACACTGTCTTCCATATCCACACTTTGTCTTTCAGCCAAGAAAAGCAAGTTGTCAGTCAATGTTAGCATGCTCCTGACACACAGCACACTCCATTTCAATCAGGCAGCCCACAGCTCCTTCCCTCACAGTGAAACATGCAGCACGGATATCACTTTGGGTAGGAGAAAATAAATTGTTCGACTGGGACACAACAGATTCTGAGGAGGGGGTGCTGTGACAGGGCGGATGCTCCCAGCTTTGGAGATGCTTTCTTTCATGGGCGTATTTAGAACTAGGAGCACAATTTACAAACGAGAGATCTCCCATTTAAGGTGGAGATGAGGAAGAATTTCTCTCTTTCAGAGGATCATTAGTCTTTGGAGGCTGGATTATTGCAAAATATTTAAGACCAAGTTAAGCAGAGGCAAGGGTGCCAGTGGAGGGAGTTGAGGTCCTAATCAGATCACTGTGGGTTTTATTGAATGGCAGAGTATAGTCCGAGGGGCCAAGTGGCCTACTCTTGCCCCTATACATTATGACCGTATGAAGTGGCTAGCCGAAAGGGGTTAGACTGCTGACAGGATCACACTGCTGCAGCACCAACTCCTAACCACACCTAGAACCACCGTCACCGCTGACAATAAAAGCCGTTATACCAAAGCCGCCCAGTACCGGTGCCTACTGCCTGTGACCAAAAAAAATACACAAGGACCACGCATTTTTGTGCACCCGCCTCTTCCCCCACCCCTCCCAACCAGCCACCCACCCTGCCGCCGAATCTGCCCAATTCCCCCCAAACCATATGTGATTCTCTGCTGTTTGGCGAAAGCTACGATACTGTAAAACAGCAGCGAGCCACATACGTCTCTGGCCCAGTACACTATCCAGCAGCACTGAGCCACTACAACCAGAGGGAGACTCAGGGCTGTTAATTTTCAGCAAGGCTGCCACGTAAGGGACAGTAATCAAAGTCATCTGTGGATCTGAATAACAGCATGTGATTCTGGCAAACACTCAGCATTCCGACAAAAGGGGAAATGTTGCTTTATAATCTTTTATTTAAAGCAATCTAGGTGTTGGGAAAAAAACACCACAGACCGTCCAACTCTGCAATTACAAAACCCTGCGTATTGTTGTTAATGTCATTTTCGTAATCAGGAGTTTCAGCGACTGTTCCAGATCAGAATAGTCGGAAAGTTAACAGCCCTGGAGAAGGCTCCTTGGTGTCTCGGGGTGGGGGAGGAGGAGGGATGGGGGTAAATGGGGGGACAATGAAACATTTCATACTTCTGCTGGGGGAATTCCAGAGTGTGGCTGAGGACTTGGAGAGTCTTTTGTTTAACATGGAATCCACATGTTTGGGCAGATTGACAGCCGAGAGAGAGCAACTCTCTGACCCTGGAAGAAAATGGAGAGACAGGAGAGAGAGACAGAGAGAGAGCGAGGGAGAGAGAGAGAGAGAGGGAGAGAGAAATAAATACCATTGAGTCTTCCTCAAATGAGCACCTCTGGGGCAGATTTCAGATTGTGGGGATGGTGGAGATGGTGGGGATGGGAAGGTGTGGGGTAGCGATATGAATGGGGAGATGAAAGGATTTGAAGATGGCGTCATTTATTTAAGGATATACTGTATTTGTAACCACGGAAAAAGACCACCATATGGCCAATCACACTCAACCCTTCCTCAAAACATGTACATCAGGCATTTCAACCTCCCAAGAAAGGAATTTGTAAGAGAACTACCCGACATCTCAATCAAATCAAAGAAAATTCTGGAATATTACATCATGACATTTCCATTGTTCAACTGTTGCTCTCCAGATACAACCTTCTATAACTGACTCTCATCACACAATTACTGTTTAATCTTATCATCCCAATTGCTGTCAACATTATAACATCCAACATAACTCCCAAAGACACGTACATACATAGAAATCAATCAACAGCATCAAATTTTTTTTTTGGACGAATAGCACTCCAACAATGATCCTTGGTCTGACTCACTCCTCTGGTTCGGAGTCTACAATCTCAGTCCCATATACAGTTAACATCAACTCATCTCTGGTTATCCAACTGTTTAACACACAGGGGTCACTGCCTCTCTCGATCTCTGTCCAGTGTGATTCCCTCTCTTCGTCAACTGCCAACGCCCAATGCCAGAATCTTCCTGACTGTTCTTCTCTCCTGCTGATGCTAAGGCTGCTGAGGTAGTGGTGAACCATCTCCTTTCAGTGGTCTAAACATTCTCCCACACATCAAGATCCTTCTGATTGGAAAATGCCCGATCCATATGCTGAATGTGGCCTCACTATAAAGGGATTGGATAGGAGCGTGAGTAGATCATCACTCCAAAAATATGTCGTTGGTTTAAAATACTTTGGGATTGCCTGACATGGAGGTGCTAGTGGTGCACAGGGTCAGAAATCACGTGACATCAGGTTATAGTCCAACAGTTTTACTTGAAGACACAGGTGTCAGTGAGAGAGGTAGCATCAGACACAGAATTTATAAGCAAAACATCAAAGGGTCATAGAACTGATGCGAACGTGTTGAACTCAGAACTTTTTTTCACGTCACTGCCCAGGGATAACTATAAGTTTTATCCGTATACCAGAGGTGGCATCTCATGACAGACAATATTTTTTAGGTGTGCGGCCTTGTTTAGAGTCTGGCTGTGCATCAACTTACAGTCAGACTGGTTTACTTCTAAAGTAGGAATTTATAAAATGTTATATGGACTGTCTACAACTTGTGTGCTTTTTGAACAAAGTAAATTGTATCAGCAATTACAAATCTGCAAATGCAAATTTGTGTGCGTGCATGTGTGTGTAAGAGAGAGAGACAGTGAGAGAGTGAGGGAGAGAGTGAGGGAGAGAGAAAAAGAGTGAGAGAGAGAGTGTGTGAGAGAGAGAGACAGTGTGAGTGTGTGTGTGAGTGTGAGTGTGAGTGTGAGTGAGTGTGAGTGTGTGTGAGAGTGAGAGTGAGAGTGAGAGTGAGAGTGAGAGAGAGAGAGAGAGAGAGAGTGTGTGAGAGAGGATGTGTGTGCGTGGGAGAGGGTGTGTGTGTGGGAGAGGAGAGAGGGGAGAGGGGAGAGGGAAAGGGAGAAGGTCTGTGTTAGGGAGAGGGAGAGGGTCTGTGTTAGGGAGAGGGAGAGGGTCTATGTTAGGGAGAGGGAGAGGGTCTGTGTGAGGAAGAGGGAGAGGGTCTGTGTGAGGGAGCGGGTCTGTGTGAGGGAGAGGGAGAGGGTCTGTATGAGGGAGAAGGAGAGGGAGTCCT